CTGGACATAATTCTCTGGTCACTAGCTGGACATGGGGACATAATTCTCTGGTCACTAGCTGGACATAATTCTCTGGTCACTAGCTGGACATGGGGACATAATTCTCTGGTCACTAGCTGGACATAATTCTCTGGTCACTAGCTGGACATGGGGACATAATTCTCTGGTCACTGGCTGGACATAATTCTCTGGTCACTGGCTGGACATGGGGACATAATTCTCTGGTCACTAGCTGGACATGGGGACATAATTCTCTGGTCACTAGCTGGACATGGGGACATAATTCTCTGGTCACTAGCTGGACATGGGGACATAATTCTCTGGTCACTGGCTGGACATGGGGACATAATTCTCTGGTCACTAGCTGGACATAATTCTCTGGTCACTAGCTGGACATGGGGACATAATTCTCTGGTCACTGGCTGGACATAATTCTCTGGTCACTAGCTGGACATGGGGACATAATTCTCTGGTCACTAGCTGGACATGGGGACATAATTCTCTGGTCACTAGCTGGACATGGGGACATAATTCTCTGGTCACTAGCTGGACATGGGGACATAATTCTCTGGTCACTGGCTGGACATGGGGACATAATTCTCTGGTCACTAGCTGGACATAATTCTCTGGTCACTGGCTGGACATGGGGACATAATTCTCTGGTCACTAGCTGGACATGGGGACATAATTCTCTGGTCACTAGCTGGACATGGGGACATAATTCTCTGGTCACTGGCTGGACATGGGGACATAATTCTCTGGTCACTAGCTGGACATGGGGACATAATTCTCTGGTCACTGGCTGGACATGGGGACATAATTCTCTGGTCACTAGCGGGACATGGGGACATAATTCTCTGGTCACTGGCTGGACATGGGGACATAATTCTCTGGTCACTAGCTGGACATGGGGACATAATTCTCTGGTCACTAGCTGGACATGGGGACATAATTCTCTGGTCACTGGCTGGACGGCGACATAATTCTCTGGTCACTAGCTGGACATGGGGGCATAATTCTCTGGTCACTAGCTGGACATAATTCTTTGGTCACTAGCTGGACATGGGGACATAATTCTCTGGTCACTAGCTGGACATGGGGACATAATTCTCTGGTCACTGGCTGGACGGGGACATAATTCTCTGGTCACTAGCTGGACATGGGGACATAATTCTCTGGTCACTAGCTGGACATGGGGACATAATTCTCTGGTCACTGGCTGGACATAATTCTCTGGTCACTAGCTGGACATGGGGACATAATTCTCTGGTCACTAGCTGGACATGGGGGCATAATTCTCTGGTCACTAGCTGGACATAATTCTCTGGTCACTGGCTGGACATGGGGACATAATTCTCTGGTCACTGGCTGGACATAATTCTCTGGTCACTAGCTGGACATGGGGACATAATTCTCTGGTCACTAGCTGGACATGGGGACATAATTCTCTGGTCACTAGCTGGACATGGGGACATAATTCTCTGGTCACTGGCTGGACATGGGGACATAATTCTCTGGTCACTAGCTGGACATAATTCTCTGGTCACTGGCTGGACATGGGGACATAATTCTCTGGTCACTAGCTGGACATGGGGACATAATTCTCTGGTCACTAGCTGGACATGGGGACATAATTCTCTGGTCACTGGCTGGACATGGGGACATAATTCTCTGGTCACTAGCTGGACATGGGGACATAATTCTCTGGTCACTGGCTGGACATGGGGACATAATTCTCTGGTCACTAGCTGGACATAATTCTCTGGTCACTGGCTGGACATGGGGACATAATTCTCTGGTCACTGGCTGGACATAATTCTCTGGTCACTAGCTGGACATGGGGACATAATTCTCTGGTCACTAGCTGGACATGGGGACATAATTCTCTGGTCACTAGCTGGACATGGGGACATAATTCTCTGGTCACTAGCTGGACATGGGGACATAATTCTCTGGTCACTGGCTGGACATGGGGACATAATTCTCTGGTCACTAGCTGGACATAATTCTCTGGTCACTGGCTGGACATGGGGACATAATTCTCTGGTCACTAGCTGGACATGGGGACATAATTCTCTGGTCACTAGCTGGACATGGGGACATAATTCTCTGGTCACTGGCTGGACATGGGGACATAATTCTCTGGTCACTAGCTGGACATGGGGACATAATTCTCTGGTCACTGGCTGGACATGGGGACATAATTCTCTGGTCACTAGCGGGACATGGGGACATAATTCTCTGGTCACTGGCTGGACATGGGGACATAATTCTCTGGTCACTAGCTGGACATGGGGACATAATTCTCTGGTCACTAGCTGGACATGGGGACATAATTCTCTGGTCACTGGCTGGACGGCGACATAATTCTCTGGTCACTAGCTGGACATGGGGGCATAATTCTCTGGTCACTAGCTGGACATAATTCTCTGGTCACTAGCTGGACATGGGGACATAATTCTCTGGTCACTAGCTGGACATGGGGACATAATTCTCTGGTCACTGGCTGGACGGGGACATAATTCTCTGGTCACTAGCTGGACATGGGGACATAATTCTCTGGTCACTAGCTGGACATGGGGACATAATTCTCTGGTCACTGGCTGGACATAATTCTCTGGTCACTAGCTGGACATGGGGACATAATTCTCTGGTCACTAGCTGGACATGGGGACATAATTCTCTGGTCACTAGCTGGACATGGGGACATAATTCTCTGGTCACTAGCTGGACATGGGGACATAATTCTCTGGTCACTAGCTGGACATGGGGACATAATTCTCTGGTCACTGGCTGGACATGGGGACATAATTCTCTGGTCACTAGCGGGACATGGGGACATAATTCTCTGGTCACTGGCTGGACATGGGGACATAATTCTCTGGTCACTAGCTGGACATGGGGACATAATTCTCTGGTCACTAGCTGGACATGGGGACATAATTCTCTGGTCACTGGCTGGACGGCGACATAATTCTCTGGTCACTAGCTGGACATGGGGGCATAATTCTCTGGTCACTAGCTGGACATAATTCTCTGGTCACTAGCTGGACATGGGGACATAATTCTCTGGTCACTAGCTGGACATGGGGACATAATTCTCTGGTCACTGGCTGGACGGGGACATAATTCTCTGGTCACTAGCTGGACATGGGGACATAATTCTCTGGTCACTAGCTGGACATGGGGACATAATTCTCTGGTCACTGGCTGGACATAATTCTCTGGTCACTAGCTGGACATGGGGACATAATTCTCTGGTCACTAGCTGGACATGGGGGCATAATTCTCTGGTCACTAGCTGGACATAATTCTCTGGTCACTGGCTGGACATAATTCTCTGGTCACTAGCTGGACATGGGGACATAATTCTCTGGTTACTAGCTGGACATGGGGACATAATTCTCTGGTCACTAGCTGGACATGGGGACATAATTCTCTGGTCACTGGCTGGACATGGGGACATAATTCTCTGGTCACTAGCTGGACATGGGGACATAATTCTCTGGTCACTAGCTGGACATGGGGACATAATTCTCTGGTCACTGGCTGGACATGGGGACATAATTCTCTGGTCACTGGCTGGACATGGGGACATAATTCTCTGGTCACTAGCTGGACATAATTCTCTGGTCACTGGCTGGACATGGGGACATAATTCTCTGGTCACTAGCTGGACATAATTCTCTGGTCACTAGCTGGACATAATTCTCTGGTCACTAGCTGGACATGGGGACATAATTCTCTGGTCACTAGCTGGACATAATTCTCTGGTCACTAGCTGGACATGGGGACATAATTCTCTGGTCACTAGCTGGACATGGGGACATAATTCTCTGGTCACTAGCTGGACATGGGGACATAATTCTCTGGTCACTGGCTGGACATGGGGACATAATTCTCTGGTCACTAGCTGGACATGGGGACATAATTCTCTGGTCACTAGCTGGACATAATTCTCTGGTCACTAGCTGGACATGGGGACATAATTCTCTGGTCACTAGCTGGACATGGGGACATAATTCTCTGGTCACTAGCTGGACATAATTCTCTGGTCACTAGCTGGACATGGGGACATAATTCTCTGGTCACTGGCTGGACATGGGGACATAATTCTCTGGTCACTAGCTGGACATAATTCTCTGGTCACTGGCTGGACATGGGGACATAATTCTCTGGTCACTAGCTGGACATGGGGACATAATTATCTGGTCACTAGCTGGACATGGGGACATAATTCTCTGGTCACTAGCTGGACATGGGGACATAATTATCTGGTCACTAGCTGGACATGGGGACATAATTATCTGGTCACTAGCTGGACATGGGGACATAATTATCTGGTCACTAGCTGGACATGGGGACATAATTCTCTGGTCACTAGCTGGACATGGGGACATAATTATCTGGTCACTAGCTGGACATGGGGACATAATTATCTGGTCACTAGCTGGACATGGGGACATAATTCTCTGGTCACTAGCTGGACATGGGGACATAATTATCTGGTCACTAGCTGGACATGGGGACATAATTCTCTGTTCACTGGCTGGACGGGGACATAATTCTCTGGTCACTGGCTGGACATGGGGACATAATTCTCTGGTCACTAGCTGGACATGGGGACATAATTCTCTGGTCACTAGCTGGACATAATTCTCTGGTCACTAGCTGGACATGGGGACATAATTCTCTGGTCACTAGCTGGACATAATTCTCTGGTCACTAGCTGGACATGGGGACATAATTCTCTGGTCACTAGCTGGATGTAATTCTCTGGTCACTAGCTGGACATGGGGACATAATTCTCTGGTCACTATTTGTGTGTGTACGCCCTGTGTCACACCCATGTCATGTGTACACACAGGTGTGTAACACGTCCTGGTTCTTACCTTGTTGTAACGTGTCCTGGTTCTTACCTTGTTGTAACGTGTCCTGGTTCTTACCTTGTTGTAACACATCCTGGTTCTTACCTTGTTGTAACGTGTCCTGGTTCTTACCTTGTTATACTCCCAGGGACCCTCTGGCTGTGTGTCACACACACGAATGTGTAGTGTGTCCTGGTTCTCGTCTAATATACAGCGCTCACCTAACCCTAGCTGACCCTTAGTATTGATGCGGAATAGCTGGAATGAAAGAAAAGATCCTGTTTGTTACACATTGCCAGTAACTCTTGCCTGAAATTATTGTAATTGTTGCCTGAATCAATAGACATCAAGTTAGGGGGAGATACCCCAAATGTTTAAAATTACTTCCAATGATTCAGGACCAAAACACAATTAATAGAAATTGATAGAAACATTACTATTACACACAATTTTAACATTTTACTAATGTTATAAGGAGATTAACAAAAATATTAAATATCAAATATGAAAATTCTGCAAATTTGGGCAAAACATCAATGTTTTCATTCCTTGAAGACAGCTGATAATTTCTGATCATGAAATTTTTTTCAAATGCTTCATTTATTAGACCATGACAATAACGGTATGGGACAGATAGAAATTGATGGGAAAATGCATTATGTTTTATTAAACACTTTTCAAAGCCATATATTTGGTAATTTTTGCAGAAACATATTTATTTAAATAATCTAGTTCTCAAATAAAACCAAAAACAAATAGGTCATGGTCTACTATGCCTTCTAAGTGATTTTTAACAAAAGCTTTCAAAGGGCACAGAGATTACAAAACACCTTGCAAAAGATTTGATCTACACATTCTTGATTCATTTTTTCATAACAAAATGATGAGTGCATTAAAACAACTGTAGTATAAATGGTGCAGCTTGATGTCTCCAGAGCACATTCCCTTCAGACTTCAATTGTTCAAAAATATTAGAAAATCATCTTTGTACCATTATAAAATATTATGTCAAAAATAATTGGGAGAAATAAATGGATATTTATTTGAAATTCTTGCCTAAAACAATGTAAGAATCCAAGAATAAATAAAATAATTTAAAAAACACATGGACCAGAAATTGTTATTGCCAGGGATGAGTGGACTGCCCAGAAGACATCAAGTAGATAAACCAAAACAATGACAGATATGTAGATAAATCTCAATATTATCAACTAAACATGCATTTGAAGATTTCCAAAAATATACACACTTATTTTTTAGAGATTACTGACTAGAAAATGTTCAAGAATAGCATCATTGTAATCAAAATTGCTATATAATTCAGCTGGAATCATTTAATATTGAAATAATAAGAATTCTGTTGAGTTAGGGCAGGTCATATACTGTTATCATTTGGAGTAAATACAAAGTTTTATTCAAATAAAAAGAAATCTATTGAGTTAGGGCAGGTTAGATACTGTTATCATTTGGAGTAAATACAAAGTTTTATTCAAATAAAAAGAAATCTATTGAGTTAGGGCAGGTTAGATACTGTTATCATTTGGAGTAAATACAAAGTTTTATTCAAATAAAAAGAAATCTATTGAGTTAGGGCAGGTTAGATACTGTTATCATTTGGAGTAAATACAAAGTTTTATTCAAATAAAAAGGCTTTAAATTATTCAAAAGGGTCAATGGTATCAGAAAAAAATGTTTAAAAAATATTTTTTTTAGAAAAATGTGCGACATTATTTTTCTATAACAGAATTGAGAAATAGTCAACACATTCAACGCAATTAAAATCTAATTCCAGTGAAAAAAAAAATTTTTGCCGATTCTACTACACTTTTCTCCTTATTGTAAATGAAACCTACTACACAACATTAAATTTCAATTATTAACACTGATCTTAACATAAAGTAACACACCAAAGACATATTAAAGACACATTTTTCTTGAACTGCTAAGGATATGAAATATGATAAAAAATACATGTGGATATTTTTGAGCAAAAAACCTAATATACTAAAGAATTCCAGAAATCCACCAAAATTAGGATAAGTTTCCAAACAAAGAAACAATATAAAAAAAAACAATAAATTGTCTAAGGTGGGAGCCATCCAACTACTGACTGCCCCGCCCACTACAAGGGTAAATATTCCTGAGCCCAGTAAGAGGATGGATGACATTTGGTGCAAACTGTGGGGGTGTTGACATGGCTACCTGTAGGAGACTACGACCCTGACAGCGTAACAGCTTAACATCAACTGACTTGAACCAAACACCGGTCCAACACAGTGACCTCCCCTTGAGCCTTATCTGCAGTAGGAGCATGTGACATCAATCAAAGGATGACAGAAGAAAAAACAACCAATGCCTGGTGTACTGGCCAGCAAGCATTGGTCAGAGAGCCTCACCTGGTTACCACCTTGGCTATGGCAAAAGAACACCCCAATGGGTCCTCCATTAACAGACTGACCAATGGTATCCCAGCACTTGCGGTCACTGGCTTTATGCCGGATCTTCAAAAATAATTACTAGAAAGCTTAGGACAGTGTAGAGTCTTGCCACTACATTCTATATATAGCTCAACCCATGAAGCTTGGTCTTCTGTCTGATGGTCTCAGTCAGCATGTACTGTCTGATGGTCTCAGTCAACATGTACTGTCTGATGGTCTCAGTCAACATGTACTGTCTGATGGTCTCAGTCAACATGTACTGTCTGATGGTCTCAATCAACATGTACTGTCTGATGGTCTCAGTCAACATGTACTATCTGATGGTCTAGTCTCCTCAGTCAGCATGTACTGTCTGATGGTCTAGTCTCCTCAGTCAACATGTACTGTCTGATGGTCTAGTCTCCTCAGTCAACATGTACTGTCTGATGGTCTAGTCTCCTCAGTCAACATGTACTGTCTGATGGTCTAGTCTCAGTCAACATGTACTGTCTGATGGTCTAGTCTCCTCAGTCAACATGTACTGTCTGATGGTCTAGTCTCCTCAGTCAACATGTACTGTCTGATGGTCTAGTCTCCTCAGACAACATGTACTGTCTGATGGTCTAGTCTCCTCAGTCAACATGTACTGTCTGATGGTCTAGTCTCAGTCAACATGTACTGTCTGATGGTCTAGTCTCCTCAGTCAACATGTACTGTCTGATGGTCTAGTCTCCTCAGTCAACATGTACTGTCTGATGGTCTAGTCTCCTCAGCCAGCATGTACTGTCTGATGGTCTAGTCTCCTCAGTCAGCATGTACTGTCTGATGGTCTAGTCTCCTCAGTCAACATGTACTGTCTGATGGTCTCAGTCAACATGTACTGTCTGATGGTCTAGTCTCCTCAGTCAACATGTACTGTCTGATGGTCTAGTCTCCTCAGTCAGCATGTACTGTCTGATGGTCTAGTCTCCTCAGTCAGCATGTACTGTCTGATGGTCTAGTCTCCTCAGTCAACATGTACTGTCTGATGGTCTCAGTCAACATGTACTGTCTGATGGTCTAGTCTCCTCAGTCAACATGTACTGTCTGATGGTCTAGTCTCCTCAGTCAACATGTACTGTCTGATGGTCTAGTCTCAGTCAACATGTACTGTCTGATGGTCTCAGTCAACATGTACTGTCTGATGGTCTAGTCTCCTCAGTCAACATGTACTGTCTGATGGTCTAGTCTCCTCAGTCAACATGTACTGTCTGATGGTCTAGTATCCTCAGTCAACATGTACTGTCTGATGGTCTAGTCTCCTCAGTCAACATGTACTGTCTGATGGTCTAGTCTCCTCAGTCAACATGTACTGTCTGATGGTCTAGTCTCCTCAGTCAACATGTACTGTCTGATGGTCTAGTCTCCTCAGTCAACATGTACTGTCTGATAGTCTAGTCTCAGTCAACATGTACTGTCTGATGGTCTAGTCTCCTCAGTCAACATGTACTGTCTGATGGTCTAGTCTCCTCAGTCAACATGTACTGTCTGATGGTCTCAGTCAACATGTACTGTCTGATGGTCTATTCTCCTCAGTCAACATGTACTGTCTGATGGTCTCAGTCAACATGTACTGTCTGATGGTCTAGTCTCCTCAGTCAACATGTACTGTCTGATGGTCTAGTCTCCTCAGTCAACATGTACTGTCTGATGGTCTAGTCTCCTCAGTCAACATGTACTGTCTGATGGTCTAGTCTCCTCAGTCAACATGTACTATCTGATGGTCTAGTCTCCTCAGTCAGCATGTACTGTCTGATGGTCTAGTCTCCTCAGTCAGCATGTACTGTCTGATGGTCTAGTCTCCTCAGTCAACATGTACTGTCTGATGGTCTCAGTCAACATGTACTGTCTGATGGTCTAGTCTCCTCAGTCAACATGTACTGTCTGATGGTCTCAGTCAGCATGTACTGTCTGATGGTCTAGTCTCCTCAGTCAGCATGTACTGTCTGATGGTCTAGTCTCCTCAGTCAACATGTACTGTCTGATGGTCTAATCTCAGTCAGCATGTACTGTCTGATGGTCTAGTCTCCTCAGTCAACATGTACTGTCTGATGGTCTAGTCTCCTCAGTCAACATGTACTGTCTGATGGTCTAATCTCAGTCAACATGTACTGTCTGATGGTCTAGTCTCCTCAGTCAACATGTACTGTCTGATGGTCTAGTCTCCTCAGTCAACATGTACTGTCTGATGGTCTAGTCTCCTCAGTCAACATGTACTGTCTGATGGTCTAGTCTCAGTCAACATGTACTGTCTGATGGTCTAGTCTAAGTCAACATGTACTGTCTGATGGTCTAGTCTCAGTCAACATGTACTGTCTGATGGTCTAGTCTCCTCAGTCAACATGTACTGTCTGATGGTCTAGTCTCCTCAGTCAACATGTACTGTCTGATGGTCTAGTCTCAGTCAACATGTACTGTCTGATGGTCTAGTCTCCTCAGTCAGCATGTACTGTCTGATGGTCTAGTCTCAGTCAACATGTACTGTCTGATGGTCTAGTCTCCTCAGTCAGCATGTACTGTCTGATGGTCTAGTCTCAGTCAACATGTACTGTCTGATGGTCTAGTCTCCTCAGTCAACATGTACTGTCTGATGGTCTCAGTCAACATGTACTGTCTGATGGTCTAGTCTCCTCAGTCAGCATGTACTGTCTGATGGTCTAGTCTCCTCAGTCAACATGTACTGTCTGATGGTCTAGTCTCCTCAGTCAGCATGTACTGTCTGATGGTCTAGTCTCAGTCAACATGTACTGTCTGATGGTATAGTCTCCTCAGTCAACATGTACTGTCTGATGTTCTAGTCTCCTCAGTCAACATGTACTGTCTGATGGTCTAGTCTCCTCAGTCAGCATGAACTGTCTGATGGTCTAGTCTCCTCAGTCAACATGTACTGTCTGATGGTCTCAGTCAACATGTACTGTCTGATGGTCTCAGTCAACATGTACTGTCTGATGGTCTAGTCTCCTCAGTCAACATGTACTGTCTGATGGTCTAGTCTCCTCAGTCAGCATGTACTGTCTGATGGTCTAATCTCCTCAGTCAGCATGTACTGTCTGATGGTCTAGTCTCCTCAGTCAACATGTACTGTCTGATGGTCTAGTCTCCTCAGTCAGCATGTACTGTCTGATGGTCTAGTCTCCTCAGTCAGCATGTACTGTCTGATGGTCTAATCTCCTCAGTCAGCATGTACTGTCTGATGGTCTAGTCTCAGTCAACATGTACTGTCTGATGGTCTAGTCTCCTCAGTCAACATGTACTGTCTGATGGTCTAGTCTCCTCAGTCAACATGTACTGTCTGATGGTCTAGTCTCCTCAGTCAACATGTACTGTCTGATGGTCTAGTCTCCTCAGTCAACATGTACTGTCTGATGGTCTAGTCTCCTCAGTCAACATGTACTGTCTGATGGTCTCAGTCAACATGTACTGTCTGATGGTCTAGTCTCCTCAGTCAACATGTACTGTCTGATGGTCTAGTCTCCTCAGTCAACATGTACTGTCTGATGGTCTAGTCTCCTCAGTCAACATGTACTGTCTGATGGTCTCAGTCAGCATGTACTGTCTGATGGTCTAGTCTCCTCAGTCAGCATGTACTGTCTGATGGTCTAGTCTCCTCAGTCAACATGTACTGTCTGATGGTCTCAGTCAACATGTACTGTCTGATGGTCTAGTCTCCTCAGTCAGCATGTACTGTCTGATGGTCTAGTCTCAGTCAACATGTACTGTCTGATGGTCTAGTCTCCTCAGTCAGCATGTACTGTCTGATGGTCTAATCTCAGTCAACATGTACTGTCTGATGGTCTAGTCTCCTCAGTCAGCATGTACTGTCTGATGGTCTAGTCTCCTCAGTCAACATGTACTGTCTGATGGTCTAGTCTCCTCAGTCAACATGTACTGTCTGATGGTCTAGTCTCCTCAGTCAACATGTACTGTCTGATGGTCTAGTCTCCTCAGTCAACATGTACTGTCTGATGGTCTAATCTCAGTCAACATGTACTGTCTGATGGTCTAGTCTCAGTCAACATGTACTGTCTGATGGTCTAGTCTCCTCAGTCAGCATGTACTGTCTGATGGTTTCAGTCAACATGTACTGTCTGATGGTCTAGTCTCAGTCAACATGTACTGTCTGATGGTCTAGTCTCAGTCAACATGTACTGTCTGATGGTCTAGTCTCCTCAGTCAACATGTACTGTCTGATGGTCTAGTCTCCTCAGTCAGCATGTACTGTCTGATGGTCTAGTCTCCTCAGTCAGCATGTACTGTCTGATGGTCTAATCTCAGTCAACATGTACTGTCTGATGGTCTAATCTCAGTCAACATGTACTTTCTGATGGTCTAGTCTCCTCAGTCAACATGTACTGTCTGATGGTCTAGTCTCCTCAGTCAACATGTACTGTCTGATGGTCTCGGTCAACATGTACTGTCTGATGGTCTAGTCTCCTCAGTCAGCATGTACTGTCTGATGGTCTCAGTCAACATGTACTGTCTGATGGTCTAGTCTCAGTCAACATGTACTGTCTGATGGTCTCAGTCAACATGTACTGTCTGATGGTCTAGTCTCAGTCAACATGTACTGTCTGATGGTCTCAGTCAACATGTACTGTCTGATGGTCTAGTCTCCTCAGTCAACATGTACTGTCTGATGGTCTAGTCTCCTCAGTCAACATGTACTGTCTGATGGTCTCAGTCAACATGTACTGTCTGATGGTCTAGTCTCCTCAGTCAGCATGTACTGTCTGATGGTCTCAGTCAACATGTACTGTCTGATGGTCTAGTCTCCTCAGTCAGCATGTACTGTCTGATGGTCTAGTCTCCTCAGTCAGCATGTACTGTCTGATGGTCTCAGTCAACATGTACTGTCTGATAGTCTAGTCTCCTCAGTCAGCATGTACTGTCTGATGGTCTCAGTCAACATGTACTGTCTGATGGTCTAGTCTCCTCAGTCAACATGTATTGTCTGATGGTCTAGTCTCCTCAGTCAACATGTACTGTCTGATGGTCTAGTCACCTCAGTCAACATGTACTGTCTGATGGTCTAGTCTCAGTCAACA